CATTACCAACATTATTCATGAGGTAATTATTTTACAAATACAACGCGCAGACATTATGGCCATTAGTCCAGCTGTGGACAATTTTTAGAATAAATCAATTGCAACCTTGCGTGTAGTCCAGCAGTGGACCATTACATACATACATAACTTCACGTCTATTTCCCATGGGTGTAGGCAGAGACTATGGAACGCCATTTACTTCTTTCGCTTCATCAACACTCAGTCATCAATCTTTTTGCATGCTCATCGGTTAAGGGTACTTTTAATTTGGCCCTTCTTTAATTTATCGCCAACCTGGTCAGTATATATGTCCGTCTAGGGACATTTTTTAGAATAAATCAATTGCAACTCTGCATGCTGCGTCAAGATTTCATAGAATTCACTATTCTAAGTAATGCCAATATGAAAAACAGCTTTAATAACAATGTGTTCTAGAATTTTCCACGAGAAAATTAAAAGAAATTATATGGATTCTAGGAAGTAAAAGAGCAAACGGTCTAATTTACTTAAGCCGAGAATTGGTGCCGATAGAAATCATTCGAAGCTTTCGCACTTAGATTCGATGAGGAAATGGAATGAGCAGACAGTAGCCTTTTTGCTCTCCTATATGTATAGGTAAGTGTAATGAGAGAATTTCCCCTCTACTGCGCTACTATGTGGATAAACTATTAACCTGTGTTTGTTTTGCATCTTGGAAGAAGTGTTTTTTTTTAGAAAAACTGCTCTAGTTTAGTTTTTTCTTATGTGTCGTGCATGTGAGTGCGTTAAAAACACATGACTTTATATATATATCACGCCCTAATTCGGAATATCAATTTGCGGATCACACAAATAATGGTTCCGTGTGACACAGCGACACGTCAGGTTATTCAGCCACTACAACAACAGTTCAGCCAACATAACATAACATCACGCCTTTTGTCCCCGAAGGCGTAGGTAGAGGTGCATATTATAGCACTTAATGTCACTGTATAATGTAACACCCACTTTTCAGGGGGTGATCCTATTGCCTTATACCGGGCACATTTCCAGATTACGTGCTGCTACTGAGATTTAAAAAAAACAGTAATACTTTGACCGACCTGGCAATCGAACCCGAACCCCTTGTCCGGCAGTCGCACTCACGACCACTCAGCTAATGAGGCAGTTCAGCCAAATATTTATAATGTTGCAAGGATCCTGTTGATGATTAGATCACTTTATATATTTTTAAAAATAATTATGTAAATTAGTCGACATATTCAGGTACATAAAATGTTTCTAAACTATGCCACTCGGATATATAAGGAAAACTTGAAAATAATAGTATTTTGAAGCAGTTGGTTTAGTGACCTGACACCTCTCTATTTTACCTATTTGTATGTCGTCAAGGCGGTGAAACAGAAGTAGTTTACCTGTACTCGCGAGTTTCTTACCCGGGCGTTGACGAATGAGTCGTTGAATGTTTAGCTCTTGCTTAATATAGCTTTGTCAGGTAGGCAGGTATGTATGTATATAGATAGCTTATCTGGTTATTTTAGTAGCTTTTGCCACAATTGTTATTTACAGATTATACCCGACTGCTTAAATAGATAGTAATACTTGTTAAGACTTTTTTCCTAACTATTAATAATAAACAGGTATGTAGGGTAGGTAATCTTCACGTCTGCCCGAGACCAAAAAGATGTTGCGGAGAACCTAACAGGTAACCGGGGCTCCGACTCGACGTGCAGGAGAAGGAACGGGGTGGTTTTTAGTCAGTAAGAGTCTGACACTCCCTCCCGCCTCACCCAGGCGGGAGCAGTCATTCGATGATTTTCCCCCCTTAAAAAAAAAGAACAAAAAGATGTAATTCTGATGACATTTTTTTATACTTAATAGGATAGCGTTTGGCCACCATCTTGCCTGTTGGTAAGCGATGATGTGGCCGACGATGGAGCACGCCTACCTATCAGCAACCTGTTCACTCGGGACTTGAAGATACCCAAGTTATATTTAAAAAACTTCAATAATAAACAAAAATCGACTTAATGTATTCTAAAAATATTTCAAACACGCAAAAAACATTGAATGGAATCTTCCAGGGATTCGCAATTTTATAGTAAGTCATGTTTTATTAAAAGTTAATAGCACTCTGGGTTTTTCGATCTCTTGTGGAAGGTCGAGAACCCTCCCGAGACCGTGCGTCAATTGCGCTCTTTTTACTACATTTTTATTTGTTTTTTAGCTACTTACGTGCTTACTTATACGAAATTTTGTTTATTTTTCTTCTTTGGCTTCTTTGGTTGTAAGGCATGAAGGCAAGTTTTAGTTCTCGTTCTCGTTCTCAAATAGGCTATTGAACCGTTACTTTTTGTTTTGTTAGCTTCTGTAGTTGAACAAAGATTAGTATTGTGAATTGTACCTGCAGTGGACTCTGCATTGGGACTAATAAATATAAAAAATTGGTTCAACATAAACAAATAAATAAATAAATAAATAAATAAACATTCAATTTCTTATGTGTATTTTTTCGTCATTAAGCTTAGGAGTCACCTGAAGTAAAAGGATGCCGTAGTTTTAGTACACCTGTATCGATATATACCGAGGTAAGTTACTAACCGACTGACTGACTGACTGACTAATGGTACAGACGTGTGTTATGGACCATGAAGATATGTCATTTCCATGATCGTATTTACTTATGAATTAAAAATTGATTAAAAATATGGAATTTTAATTTTTATAATTTATCTTTAATAAATAAAAAGCGAACATATATTTGATTGGATTTACATACATGTTGTTTTTTTGTGTATTGGATATGAATGGATACACAACACATTCACTTTTATAATATTTTTATGTAGGCACCAATAAAATCTGCCAATATATACCTATAGGTTCGTACCTTCCTTTTAATCAAACAGAAATGTAGAGATACGACATAAATATTTTTTATTTTAAAACAAAAAAGAGAATATTTTTGAAAACTCATTGAAAACGCTTTTATCGTAAAATAATTCTCGAGGCATACAATTCATAATAATAATACCTATTTTTTACAATAAAATGAAATATGTATACATTTTTGAAAAACCGATAAATATTTTTCTTTGACATTGAGAAAAAAAAAATTTACAGCTATTTTATTTTTGTTATTAAAACAATGAAGTGATGAATGCAGAAGAGATATTATTTAAACCTTTAAAGTAATACTTACTTTCAGAATCCACGATTACGAAACATCTACAACATTTGTTTACACAAAAGTAGTCTCTAATCATCAGAAATGAGAAATGAGGGTAAAGGAGTAAGTGGAGAGCGGTCACCGGAGACCGGTTGGGGGCTCGGCAGGGTGCCTTTAATATTATTATTTTTTTACATAGGACTTTATGTTCTCAATTTTAGCGTTAATTTTTATGCTCTATCTAGAGCGTTAATGTTCCCAACAGGTTTGAGTACAAAGTACTTTAAATTCTTTTGTGTAATTTAGTATTTAAATTAAGGTATTTTTTGAATAGATAGTGCTGTCTGTGTTCTCTGTTTCCATGACAAGAGTTATGGTGATGCTGTCATACCCTTTGTCTTATTCGGTGCGATCTCTAATTTTTGCTCTAGAGAGCACTAAAATTTAAATTCTGATATCATTCTCTTATGAAGTTGTTTGATAGCGATTTTTAATTTTTTGTGCATAATTTTATAAAGCGATTTAAAAACTGTTTTTACTTAAAATTGTGTTTCAAATTTATTCAAATTTAAACTAGGCCGTTTATTGATTAACTAGGACTGTTAATCGATATTACTAATTCTAGATATCAATCATCTACCCAATCTACAAAATAATTAAATTAATTTTGCCCCTATGGATTCTTTAATCTGTGAAGTGTAGGAGCGTCTATCTATAGGATCATACTCTTAGGGATATGTAGCAGGCGTTGCACCGTTGGGGCTCCGGAGCATTTCTCTTTAGAGGACCCGGTGCCCCTTATAAGTGCTGATGGAAGCCACCGGGGTGGTTTTATTGAGGTACGAATTCCACACTCTCTAGTCTTTCTCTTCAAAAGCTAGGCGACTTTTGAAGGTTCCCCCGTCATTAAAAAATAAAAGATCTATGTGAGACACAATGTGGTTTCTAATATGTCTCATATATCGACAGACAAGAGGTTAAATATGAGCTTTAGAATCTATCTTTATAATATTCGTCATCTGTCGAAATTAACATTTTTTGGCCATTACATCGACAGATTATCGCATCATCAATTTTCAGAATCAATGTAGAAATGTTTATTTAATAAAACAGTCTAGTCATCGTGTTAATGTGTTTTAAACTTATTGTAATACAGAATAAATAATAAAGTCGAATGAGGAAATTCCACTATGATCCTATTAATTCCTTTACGCGGATTAGTTGCAAAATGTTGCGTTGGTGTCATTTACACAGACATGTAACAAATATAAGGTTTTTTAAAGATTGGAGCTAAGTAGTTTTAACTCACGGATTTAATCACTGAGTTATTGTCGTATCTAAAGTCGACAATAGGTCGATCTTAATCATTGAGTCAGCCTTATAATGTAGAAATATTACCTAATTAAAAAAGGTCTTACTGTTTGAGTAAGAACTAGCAGTTTCGTAAATAAGATCTATTTGTGTCTAGTCTAAACCTGTTCGAAACAAGTCATAAATCTTTAAAATAATCGTAAAATTCCAACAAAAGTTTACAAAGTAAAACAAATACTTCCATTAAAAGCTCAATCAATGCTATAAACATATTAATATTTCTTGTTAAACTTAGATGAAATTTTTAATGCGAAAATTTTAAATACCTTATGAATAAATATTCAAGTTCGTTCTTATTGTTCGCTAAAAATCTCATGAATAATAAAAAGAACGTTGATTTTAAATAGTACTAAAAATTATTTGATGTAGACTGGGGTAGAACTGGATTTGTTTAATTGGTTTACGGTGTAAATGTGGTCAAACGGACCGGTTGAACCGTTGAACGTCGACCAGGAGAATGGCAAGGTCTAATACTCTACAACTACGGGTAGTTGATTCAGCAAAGCCTCTATCGGCGCACGCGACGCTTGATAGCGTATTTAACACACGAATTTCGAAGTATTTTCTAATATTTAGTGATTTATATTTGTGCAGTGTGCTATAACGAAGTAAGTTTTAGTTTTGTTATTTACGTACGATTGCAATAGGTAAGATTTTTGATTTAATTAAGGTAAAAAGTGACTTTTTTGTATTTTTACTTTGCGTGTGGCCAGAGGTTAGTGCAGTTAGAATTTTTTAAATTTCTGAATAACGAATCAGACATTCGTTACAGTTTATTTCTTCTAAATAATTAATGTTTCATATTACTATGCTATTTTGGAGTATAATAAAAGAAGTCATATTGCTTTCTAAATGTAATTTTGTCTAACGTCTATAGATTTTGTAATATACCAAAATTTGTCGTTTATAAATAGCAATATCTGCCATTAAATATATTTTTTTCTCAATTAATATCAATGAATATATACTAGTTACAATAGTACTAATAAAAACAATTATAATTGAATTATTTTCTTGGTCACTCGTACCTTTATTATGGCAAAATGTTAAGCTAGAACAATAGACTCATTTCGTATTCTTGAAAGCGAGTGATCACAATCCAATAGACGCATTTGGCATTGTAAATGCGATCAGCTTTGTCTTTTTTAAGACTGATATACTTACAATGTTATGATTTTAATACCACGTGTATATTTTTAAATAAATCATTTATCTATTATTTAAGGCATTATGGCAGACATTATTACGAAAAAATAGTTTGGTGACAAAATTGGAATAAGTAATTAGTACCTATTCAAATAAATTAAGCTAATCATGAATCATGCGTTATTGAGGCTGTCTAGTAAATATAGTGACCTATAAAATGTTGAATTTTGATTCTTGGTATGATAAAATCATGTTCTTGTACCGTGAACTATATAAGGATATTACTAATTTAGTGCTAAATGACTAGTGTCATACCGACGCATACAAATATACTTATTATAGAGCGTCATATAATAACTATCAGTCTAACAAATACTTTTAGTGGAAATAACA